TAATTGGTATAAAATCATATTAGATTAGCATAAGACCCTAATCACCCTCCCTAGGGTCTAACATGTTAAACACCTGAGGTGTATGTGAACACAAGATATAGGTTCACACATTGAGATACGTGTACGAACACTTAAATACATGTTTTGAAATTTACTATACATGCATAGTTGAGATGCATAACATATGTTTGATCTGATAGTTGTTGGCATAACACATGATAATGCATAACCTATCTGTTGGGGATGTTCAGTGTGGACGTTTATCCCATAATATAACTTCACTTGTACCACACTAGGAGCATTTGGACATTTTCCCGTAATGAGACCTCGGCGGTGTCAATACTCGAAGATTATCGGGGTGTTTCCGGATTAGGATAATACGCATTCATTCCATTGTACACTCATCTGGATGCATCATCCGGAATAGGGAAGATAAAACTTATTACCGTAGAACGATTGAGTAATGATATTAAATCCACATGATATTGTGAGAATCTTACAAGAGTATCGTTATGTAATAAAGACATATATACACAGTTGTAGTTTGCTCTCATGTTAGATTACCTGAGAGTAGGGTACAAATTGGATATATGGCATACATGGTTTGGTCTATGGTGATGTTTGAGACGGATGATATTTCCTTATGACTGCGCTAACTACCTGAGGGTAGTTCGAGATGTGATATTGGCTCTATATGGTTGAGGTTTGGAGTATTTTTTTTCTTTTATGTACTACTTTCATTCATAGGTTTGGAATTAGTATTTAGCGATTCACAATTTGAGACATGATATATACATGAGGGTTTCCTTGTTTAGATTATTTCGCTCGACGTACTAATTCTCGTGTTTTGGGTTTTTAAATACTAATCTCCATTTATAGTTATATGAATAATTTTATATCTATATGTATTAACAGTATTTTCTTATATACTCCTACCCCTTCCCCCTGGGGGCGGTGGAGATGATCTCGCTAGTGCTTTGACGCTCGTTGTTTTCCCCCCTTTCAGGCAGAGAGTCCAGTGTAGGGAGAATCGTAGGTTGATGGGATTGCATCTTAGATTCTATCTAGTTATTTATATTTGTAGTATTTCAAGTAGTTGTTTATTTTCAGACTCTAGAGATTGTGATTTTACTTTGTAGAGGCCGAGTGCCTTAGAGAGATTTCATTTGACCCTTGTATGTAAACTTATTTCAGATTCAAAGTTATTTTATTTCAGTTGGCCCGTTATGATGATTTTTATACACTTCTTCTGTGCATATTCTGTTTATTGTACTACTTCATTATTCTTTGTCTGTTTTGTACTTTTACCTGTTTGTTGATTCTACTAGAGAGATAGTAACTGTGTGATGAAATATGTTGTTGCACGGTGTTGATACATGGCAGGTTTGACATTCTGGGATTCACCTTGGATTGCAGCCTTGTGTGAACCCTGGGGTGTCACAACAACTAACGTGTAACCTTTACAACCAACGCTTATCCTTAACAACCAATATGTAACCTTAACAACCAACCCGTATCCTTCACAATCAATGCTTATCATTAACAACCAACCCGTAACCTTAACAATCAACGCGTAACCTTCACTATCAACGCTTATCCTTAACAACCAATGCGTAACCTTAACAACCAACCCTTAACCTTCATAATCTATGCGTAACCTTAACAATAAACCACAACCTTAACAATAAATCCGTAATCTTCACAACCAACTTGTAACATTAACAACCAATCCGTAACCTTCACAACCAACGCGTAACCTTCACAACCAACCCATAAGACATCTACAACCAACTCGTAAGACATTCACAACCAAGCCGTAACCTTCACAACCAACCCGTAACACCTTCACAGCCAATGAGTATCATTCACAACCAGCCCGTAACATTAAAAAATAACACGTAACCTTCACAACCAGCCCGTAACACCTTCACAATCAATGTGTATCATTCACAACCAACACGTGAACTTCAAAAACAACACATAACCTTCCTTCACCACCAACTCATAAGCTTAACAATAAACTTATTACAATGAAATAACAAGAATATATAAATTTACATACTCTAATTTAATCTCAAGTCATCGATTTAAAAAAAATTACAAAAATATGTAAACTTAAGGGGGTTGGCGACGCAACTCGTCATCACCGTCTTCATGATCGGAGTTTTCTTCACCTCATGAACGACCGCCGGGAATGTTTCACCGCTGATGTTGATGCCATTGAAAAAATTTGGAGGGAACTAGAATTTCCCCCCAAAACTCATTTGAAATTATCACTGTAACATCATGAAGAGAGAGAGAATCATCACTGTAACATCATGAAGAGAGAGAGAGAGAGAGAGAGAGAGAGAGAGAGAGAGAGAGAGAGAGAGAGAGAGAGAGAGAGAGAAATAGTATTATGGTCTTCACATACTTAAAACTATTGGGTTTTGTGTTTTGGGGACTCAGGGCACAATGAGTTTATTTTAGGGGCTTTGAGAGCATTGAAATGGAAGGGGGTGAAATAGTCATTAGGAAATTGGGGGCTAGAAACAATTTCCCCTACAAAATATTGCCTACAATTTTTTACTAAATTGTTCTCCGGACCAAGTCTGGATCAGCGGTGAGAGGATGTGTCCTGCAATTAAATACGGAATTGGTTGAAAATAAAAAAGTGTTATGACTCTGTCGAAAGTAAACACCATTTCACTTCACATATGCAGTTATTTTCACCAACTGAATACTAGGAGAATCCTGAGTATCAGGCTGTGAGGTGAAAGTTAGATGCATAAAAAAAGACATTCCGTTCAAAATACTAAACTTGATCATTCAACTTGCTTGACTTCTTCTAGTGCAACAATGTGTTGGATCCATGTGGATAGGTTATTTATACCAATGCTTTTGATATATAGAAACAAACTCCTCAAAAATATTGTACCAGTTTTTTTCTTGCAGACCAAAAAAAAAAAAAAAGAAAGAGAGGAAAGCATTATATAGAACTCACAGCATCCAAAATCTGCGGAAGACCTTTTGTATCATGATCCAAGATACCATTGTCCACGCCATCAAGCCAGTTAAAAAAATAAATAAATCCACAAAGGACAAAAGGAAAAACTTTTCAAACATTAAATCGAAGAATGTATAGATATAAATCTCTATTATATAGATTGTAGTCATATGAGGCATCTACAAAATCTGTTAAGGTAGAAGCACAAGCGTTATCCCTTCCCAATTTATGCTGCTTTCCCATCAGAAACAGATATTTGCAAATCTGGGTGTGCATTTGCTTCCATCAAAACATTGCCTCACCACCAGCCAACTACTTTCAAAAGGGATGTATCTATGTCAACATGGTTATGACCCAATTATCGATAAACCAATCATTTCTTAATCCAAAGCAAACTTTTTTTAATTACGTTCTCAACTACTTCTCAGAATCTTTGCACATGTTTAAGCCTCTCCTCACAAGTTTGTCAAACCACTCATTCCCAAATGAAATCAAAGGCTTAACCAGAGGTGTCATGGGAATATTGACAGAAGATCAAGGGACTGCCAGAAGTAATAACCTCTTAATTAAGAACGGATTCTAAGTACTTGCACATAACATTCAATATCAAATAGGTAATTGCGGAAAGACACCCCTCCCTTGTACTAGCGCCAAGACATCCCTTGTACGAGCTTCAAATTGAACTTGCTAATGCTTTAGTTCTATTGTTGAAGATAGACCCCCTAATTGATTTTTTTTTTTTTACCCTTTTCAGGGGATCTATGCAACTACTTATTTTCTCTCAGAGGGTCCATACAAGAATAGATTTTCTGACAGAAGGTTTTATCTGCAACGATAGACCTACAGGGGTTGTAAGTTCAATTTGGCGACACTACAGGGGCTCTACATAATTAACCCAATCTGACGTAGGCTTAAAGGATAGGAACTCACTCAAGTAAGCTTCTCGGCCACAATTACAAAGGTAAACAAATAAAGCATACCCTTCAGTGAAACAAAGTATCATTGTCCAAGATGCAAGTCAATTGAAATATCAAGTGAAGTATGCTCATACCATATAAATGCAAAGAAGCAGATTCATTCAAGTTGTACCTGAATGCTTCATATTTCAATTTCTGGATTTGTTAGACGGATACTTAGCAGATTCAAATTCTAACATGGTATATAGATGACATTGTCTTAACATTCAATATCAGTACCCACATATCAGATGTCGGGTTAGCAGATTCAAATTCTAACATGGTATATAGATGGTATATAGATGACATTGTCTTAACATTCAATATCAGTACCCACATATCAGATGTCAGGTATCTGACTATATCAAGTAAACATCTAAAACTTGTTTTGTTAAACTGCCGACCAATTAATCATGTTTATGCACATTTACATAACTTATTTGCATATGAATCTATGAAAACAGCAGTGTCCCTATGATAGATATCTTGAAGGCTCCTATATTAGACACCATAGCAGGATATTTAACCCCTTCATGGCGGGTCCAATTAACCATTAAAATTGAAAGTTCGTTTCAGAAAACAAGGAAAGATTTTTTTTTTATTGTTCAACATGAAACATCTGACCTAAGGAATATAATGTCAATACCGGATAGTGGAGGCAACCTGAATGCCGACCAACATTCAGTGAAATCAACGAGTCATCAAATTGTTCAATCGACTTCTCATATTTCTGATAGTTATTTGGACTTGTTTTTTAGTATACAAGTTGTACTACCTGCTTCATGAATCTTTACATTAAAGACGCGACAGACTACAAAAATCTATCAAAGAGGACAGCTCCACGTCCTAAGGCTTAAATGTCCTCTGTTCAAAAGCTAATATTAATGATCTATATTGTTCTCAGAATGCAACAACCAAAGCCTAGATGGATTAACAAACTACTAGCATCAAGTCCTATCCAATTAGCAGATGAGTAATTAATTTCTTTAGGGTTCAAAAAGCATAACCCTATTGTCTAATTTGATACCATCCAGTCAGAAACAAGCATCACCATCAAATGGAATAAGCATAGTGATGATACAATCAATATGTCAACATGGCTAACTCCATGCAAGTTTGAGAAAAATACATGAATTAATTAGTTGCAACTTTTAAGGAATAACGAATCTCGAGAACAAAATGTCACTCAATTTGCATTCAACATGAACCAGCATGACATGACATACCGATAAGGGAATTATGGACAATACATCCTCTCGAAGTATAGTAGATACAATCCCTTGCTGTGCCTCCTTTTGGCAAGTGAAATGCGCCTGAAGAAAGCAAGAAAAGATAACACACAAAAAAAAATCCTCGAGCAATCTCACATTATAAACATGAAACTCGTCCAATGCTTGCCGATTTTCCCCAGAAGAATCATGCAACTAAGTTAGTGTCTGATTTATGCCACAATAATTAATTTTCAGGATACAATCTCTGCAGCATGAGCAACGCATCTCTGATAAAAAAAATGTGCTATAAATTAGCCACTTTCCCTCTTGCAGTTCCCGGGCAGGAGATATCTATACTTGTCAACATTCTGAATCAAATATCCTGGTAAATGGACAGCAGAATAAGTACTGGGTATCGGTCCCAACTTTGCTATAATTTCCTGAAACGTGTACTCCTCTGGAAGCATATCAAACAGGTCAGCCCCTCGGCAAATCACATCCTGAATCCTTTGCGGGCTCAAGAAGTAGGAAAACCTCACTCTATCCACATGACTGTAAGCCTTCATCTTGAACACAAACTCACTTATGTATCGAAAGCAGAAGCTACAGTGCCAGCCCGAATCAGCCAACAGGTCATCAGTCTGCCTAAAGTGAGCATACCTCGTCTTCCCCGCCCGATACCTGTGAACCGAGGCCCTCCAGCTCTTATCATCCAACAAGAACTCAAATGAGTAGAGGTAGTCCTTAAGCTGCAGATGAAGAACCTCAGGAATATCATCGCACCATCTCAACAGATTAATAGTATGGCCACTAGGGATCTCATCAACATCCGACATGATCAGCAAATCATCATCATTAATGCCCGCAATCCTAATAAGCTGATCCAATGCGACCCGCTGATAAGACTCCTCGACAAAAGGGTTCTCTCCTTTCACAAACCGACCGCCAACCGACCCATAAGTGAGCCTGGACTCTGCAAACTTGAACCGGTCCCTGTTCTTGGCGAAGAAGAGGGGTTTCTTGATGCCAGTAAAGGTAGAATTTGACTCCAAGAGTACAAACTCAGAGACGTAAGGGTGGAGCTCGTGCCAGCGGATGGAAAGGATATCAAGCTCATTTGCTGAGAGGACCCGGATCGAATACCCGTTCTCGGGTTTCGCGGGCACGCCAGCCGTCGGAGCGCCACAGAGACTGGGCATGGTGATGTTATCATTGTAATAATGAGGGACGTGATTGAAGGGTTTTGGGGGAGATTCCCAGAGAGGACGGAGGAAGTAAGTGATCTTTTGGCCATGGAGGTAAATGAACAAGATGAATATTGGGACTCCCACCAACAGAAGAAGCAGAGCTTTGAGATCGAAACCGCGAAGCGCGCACCGAAGCCTCGACATGGTCAGCGCCGCTCTGCTGCTCTGTTGAAATTCGACCAATTATTAGTAGGCGATCGTTAGGGCAATTTCAAATTTAGGTTTTTTTTTTTCCAGATCCCAAATCACAAAATCTGAAATTGAAATTGAAAATACAGATCTACGAGGCGGGGAAGAAGATTACCGGGCCGCATACATCGTCGCAGATGTCGTCGGACTTCTTGGAAGTGTAGTATCCGCCTCCCTCCGGCATCTCAAATTCATAAAAAGCCCCTCCTTAACTTTTTTTTTTTTTTTTTTTTATTTGATTAAACTTCTTCCTCCCCCCTTTTCGTCTCCGCTGATTTCGCAATTAGAAAGCGGAGATCGACGGTTTCAGTCAGGTCGCCGCAGAGAAGAGACGCCGCAGGTGAAGAAATCTTCTCCTTCGATTATTTTCCCACCACCCCAAGTAATTAATTTTTCCGTTGGGGATATTTTGTTATTTCGGGGGCGGAGGAGGGGAGGCTAAAAAGCAACTGGGGATTCTCTAATTTTATAAGGCGACGGACTAATTATAGCCGTTTGGATTTGGCTCTCCTGTATATTATTAATAAGAGCCCCCAAGTATAGGTTCCCTGTTTGCTCTGGGTCCTTCCCCCTCCTGATACTTTCTATAGTTTTGATGGCTGGAGATGCACTGGAATGAATTGGGAAAATAATAATAAATGATGGTGGGGATAAAGGCAGGAGAAGGGGAAATGGTTGGTTGCGGATTCTATACCAGCAGCGCAGGGAGCGCGTTGACAGGATCAAACTGGAAGTAAAAAAAAAAAAATCCTATCGGATCATATATCACGGGAATAAAAAAAATAAAAAAACGCGGAGAGCACAAGTCTATTTCCTCTTGGAAACAACGACAGCTAATTGCCTGGGTTCCTTAGCCCTGTCGATAATGAACCTTCTTTATGGGAGCTCAAAGCCTAATGAGCCCCTATACTGTCCTGTACTTTTCTGTAAACCCTCTAAACTATCTTTCTGATCGAATAAGCCCTTAAAACTTTCAAGTTTCAATTTATTTGGCCCTTTAGCTCCAAGTGCTACCCAAAGTGCTACCCAAAATGCTATTGTAGCAAAGGTAAAAAGTTAGATGTTTAAAAAATGAACCCACGTGAGATATTTTATTAATTTTTGCCTCGTCACTGTGAGATGTGTTCTTCCTTCGACGTAGTATCTTCTTTGGTTAGTACCTCTTTCTGAGTCCTTTCTATATGAAAGATCATACTTTTGTCGAGCAATGTTCTCATTCGAGACGAGTTCGTAAAATTATTTACTAAAATTTTAAAATTTTTTGGGGATGGTGTCTAGGGCTTTGATCATCTGTGTTATTCTCTTGATCAAATTCCTTTACCGAGTGAAATCTACTACTTAAACATAGAGTTTAATTTGTTCAAAGTTTCAATTCTGAATTGTGCTAGTTGTTTTATACTTCTTTGATGGGAGTATACTGAACTGTGCTTGTGGACTTAGGTTTTGCATCTTTCCGATGTATTTAATTTGTCCAGTTTTTTTGATGCAAAAAATAAGAAAGAGAGATGACAAGGATTGTCATGCATTTTCTTTTCTTTTATTAAATGTAGGTAGCAATAACAATGGACTTTAGTGTCGCATGCTCATGTGGGTTTAATGCTTAAATATCCCAATTTTACTTTTGCTACAATAGTATTTTGGGTAGCAGTTAGGGCTAATGAGCCAAATAGATCGCAACTTGAAAGTTTAGGAGCTTATTAGATTAGAATGATATTTAGGGGGACCGGACCGGAGCCGGTATTGTTTCGGGCCGGGCCCGGATCCGGACCGAGCCGGGTTTCCGAGCCGGTCCGGAGCCCGGACCGCGGGCTTTTTGAACACCCCTAGTTTATAGGCTCGTGAGACTTTGAACTCTCTTTATGATTCCCACAAAACTTTGGGAAAAAGTTAACTCAAAAACGCAAGTGTCCTTTTGTGTTTCCATTGGACCATTCGTATGTTTTGGTTGCAAATGATAAACTTCTTAAAAACAAGCTACTCTAATGATAATTACCTATTTGTTTGCAATTAAAAACTAGTGATATGAATTATCAAACACTAGTATTCCGGTGCATACGATCTGTGCATTGCATAGAAGGTGGAGGAGTGTCCTAGTCAAATTGTTAAGAAAATGAATGATTTGATAGATTTTCTTTTTGTTCTTTTAGATTTTTTTTTTCAAGTGTGACAATATTTTAGTACTTTTAGTATTGTCTGTATTTGTCAAGTATAAGGATATTTTTCACATTTTAAAAGGAAAATGATAAGTGCACACCCCCAACTACACATCTAACCACATCCCCTCTCTTTCTACAGTGCATTGGGACTCACATGAGATTTTATTTTAAAATCTCATGTGGGTCCCAGTGCACTGTAGTAAGAGAGGGGGTGTGGTTAGAGGTGTTGTTGGGGGTGTGCCCCTTGTGCCTTTCATTTTAAAAATATAGCTCATGGAAGCTAAAGAGAATTTCCCTTGATATATAGTATATATATATTTAGGGTTGTCCATTTGGCCCGCCAGCCCGAGCCCGGGTTTGGCCCGGAAACCTAAGCCAGACAGGGTTTCGGACCCTGGTACATGGCCACCTCGTCGACGTCCGGCTCGGGCCCGACCTTAAAAACGGTCGGGCTAAGTACCCAGGCCGGGCCAGGATGCAACGGTCATATAATGTAACAATTGCGGGCAAATGTTGGGCCGGGCTGGGGCCCGGATGCAACAGTCATATAATGTGACAGTTGTGGGAAAATGCCGGGCCGGGCCCAGCCCGGCCCGGCCATAATGGCCATTTTGGCTGTTTTGACCGTTTTGCCCCCAAAAACGGTAAAAATGAGGGTATTTTGGTCATTTCTTTAGGGGGTTGCCTATATAAATAGTGATACAGGTGTATATTCTCTTTGGAACTTAGCGATCCTCATGGGAGCTTGAGGATAGATAGATGATTCTCATGATAGCATGAGAATAGAAGTGTCAAACAGTATAAGGGAACGTAGGTTGGAGCGAGAAACGAGGCAGAGAATCAAAGATTCAAAGTATCCAGATTTCAGCCTGTGAGTCGACTCATACATGTACATGAGTCGACTCATCAGGTTGGGTCGACTCATGCCTGTCATGAGTCGACTCACAAAACCAAGCTCAGTTTGCAGTTTGTCTCTGACCAATCGACTCATTAGTTATGAGTCGACTCATATGAGATCATGAGTCGACTCATTGCTGGTCTTGAGTTCTGTCCAGTTTCGAACGAGTCGACTCATCTCAGTCATGAGTTGACTCATCGGAGTTTTCTAGATTCGTTAAGAACTCTATTTACGCGTCTTCTTTTCCTATTTGTAGTAGGACTTCCAGTGGGGTTCCTTGAAGAGCATTGGTACAAGTGGTACGGCTTGCACCAAAGATTCAATCAGACCGTTCAAGAGTATACGACAGAGTTCTAGCAGCAGGCGATGGTTCTAAACATCGCAATGGAGGAATACTCCATCTTCATGAAATACATGGAGGGTCTGAATGATTACATTCGGAAGGAGATGAAGCTGTTCACGGTCGGGACGATTGTAGAGGCGAGCGTGAAGACAATTACCATTGAGGGCAAACAGAAGAAGGGCAACGAAACGAAGGGAGATTCCAAACAATCGGGAGGCAAGTCTAGTGGCTCTCAACATAAGGAAGAGAAGAAGAAGGGTGATTCGGGGAAGGCAGGATTAACTTGCAATCACTGCAAGCAGACAGAGCACGTGGCTGATCGTTGTTGGGAGAAGTACCCTCATCTGAAGCCGAAAGGGTTGAAGAAGGAAGAGGAGAAGAAAGAATACGTGGTAGCACAGGGTCCGAAGGAGGTTTTCGGAATGACAGAGCCCAACAACAGCCTCAATCTTATGGTAGGGAAACAGGCTGCGAAAGAAGATGACGATCTGAGAGAGCAGCTCTTTGTTTTGAAGTTGCAGGTTAAGACCAGCTTAGTGGATGCCATTGTAGATACAGGGAGTTAGAAGAAACTGATATCTGAAGCATTAGTACAGAAGTTGAGATTGAAGACGGTGAAGCATCTGAAGCCCTATCCTTTAGGGTGGATTCAGAAGGAAGCGTGATTGAGTATGATGAACCAGTGTACGTTTAGATTTGCACTCCATGAGTCATATATTGACGAGGTCACATGCGACGTGGTTCCGTTGGATGTTTGCCAAGTTATTTTGGGCAATTCTTAATTGTGGGATAGACACGCGGTATATGATCGACGAGCCCAAAAGTATAAGTTTACCAAGGATGGCACGCAGTTCATTTTTCGTTTGGCATCTCTTCCGCAAGAGACGAATTTGGTGACGGTGACTCAGGCTAAGAGGTTGGTGATGCGGGCAGGAGGTTCGTTTTGTTGTTCATTCGGCCTTATGAAGAACAGCTAAGTAGGATATGCTTGTCCACCTTGAGCAAACTACAAGAGGGCGATCTTGATAGTTTGAAGGCCAAGTATGCAGATTTGTTTTCGGAGATCACGGGACTACTACCACGGCGAGGTGTAGAGCATGTGATTATGTTGACCGGTGAGAGTTCCTTGCCAAACATAGGCCTATACCGCACATCAGTACAGGGGTCCGAGGAGATCAAGAAACAGGTTCAGGAGCTCTTGGAGACGGGAGTGATAGTGCCGAGTTGTTCACCTTGTGGGTCGTCGGTGTTATTGGTGCCCAAAAAGGATGGAGGCTGACGCATGTGCGTGGATTACCGGGCGCTTAATAAGATAACGATCAAGAATCGTTACCCACTACCACAGATCGATGATCTTATGGACCAGTTAGAGGGAACGAGGTTCTTCACGAAGTTGGATCTGAAGTCTGGCTATCATCAGGTGAGGATTCGGGAGGAAGACACTTGGAAGATGGCGTTCAAGACCAAACAGGCCTGTTCGAGTGGTTGGTGATGTCGTTTGGGTTATGCAATGCTCCAGCGACTTTTATGAGGCTCATGAATGATTTGTTGCGAACTTTCATAGAGGATTTGTGATTGTGTACCTTGATGATATTTTGGTGTACAGCAAGACCTGGGAGGAGCATCTTGTTTATATGGAGAAGGTATTTAGAGTGTTGCAGGACGGACAACTGAAGTTCAACGGGAAGAAATGCGAGTTTGGGAAGGACGAGTTGGTGTATCTCGGCTTCATCGTAGGGAAGGGCCAGAGGAGGATAGATCTGGGTAAGGTGGCGGTGATCACGAAGTGGTTGATGTCGAAGACAGTGACTGAGGTGAGAAGCTTCATAGGGGCTTG